TTTCTTTCGTGAGAGTTTTTCTTTTGGATTTGTGGGAGACTTGGAGTTATCCGAAGAGATTTCCTGATTAGATTGGGATCTCCTAATGTGATGGCGATCAACCACGTTGTTGGATTCTGGATTAGGTGAGTTGTTGTAGTTTCCATTACCATAATTATACATGTGAAAGGGAGAGTAATGGGGATAAGGTGGAAAATTGCCATACATGGCAGGTGGAAAAGGGGTTGGGGAATAATAAGGGGCATGTCGAGATGCATCTAGATTTTGATGTGGGAGAGAAAGCCATTCATCATGACCGGATGGGGTGCCGGATTCCGTAGCGAAGGAAATTCTTCGCTTGTTTTTTTCTTTAGTTTGCCTGGTAGAAGGATGTTCAGAGTCACTATCCTGGCTTTCTTCATCCGGGGTAAATGCCCGGGTACGTTTGGAGACAAGACCAGGAGAAGTTTCATTGAATTCTTGCTGAGAAGGAACACAGTTTTGAGTTTCGATATTTTGTGAGGCGTTGTTTGAGATACCCGTGAGGTGTACGGGTGAAAGAGACGACATTTTTTTAGCTAGGTTTTTAGTTATTTCATAATAACTATGAATATCTTTTGTGTACCTAAAGCAATTTAAATCTATTTTAAAAAAAAATTGACTATATTAGAAAACAAAAAAGTATCATGTTTGCACTTAGAAATTTATCTCTTTTATAAACTCAAATTTATAACTCTGAATTCTTTAGATTGCTTAAAATGATTTCCATTGTAATGCTGTAAATAATAAATAAAGTCGTAAATGATATTTGATGAGTTATTTTTGTTGATTTTCTTGTTCTCTAGTTTTTCTGATTTTTGGCTATCTTTTCGCAAATTAAAAATATTATTGTTCTAATAAGAACTATATCTTTATCATCCTTATTCAACCAACCATTTTTCTTGTTTTTATCACACATTCATGGATCAACAATTTTGCATTGATTTTTTCCTATACATGTATAATCCAAACATTAATTATATTACAATACACATGTACTTGGGTACTGTAATGAGTGTGCAATGCTGCTGTTACATACGTAGATAGGAGAGTGATCAGCATGTAGGTTATGCGGGGTACAGTGTTTCACAAGGTGTAGCTATCAATATGCTAGTGATCAGGTGAAATTCTGACTAATTGCGATCATGTTGTTGTTTGCACTGTTCATTAACCTTCTATGTTCGTCTCCGTTACTCCTACTACATGTACAGCTACATTTTTTGTTGTATACATTTGATTGTCTGTTCATCTAATCTGATAAACAAAGAATCTTTAATTTTTTCAAAGTTCAAAGCAAATTACACCAAAATTTTTAAACGAGATAAAATGAACAACTTTTAATGTTTTTCAATGTAATTAACTTTTTCAAAATTAGATTTGGATCGCGTGATAGATTAATTGGTTATTTAAAACCCAGCTACGAGTGAATACTCAGTAATGAATTGAATTGGCAAAAAAATTAGAACATTTAAAGGGATTATGACTTTCATCCTGGAAATATATTGCTGATTTTGGACTTACAGCTCAACTAATTTAAATAAAACTAATCAAAATATTTGCGGTATACTTCCTTATATAAGTCCAGAGGTAGAAAGCCATTCACTAAAAGCTTATAGTTTTGGATGATTATGTATATTATAACAGGAGAACAACCGTTTGGTCGATGAATTCATGATAAAGCTCTCGTATCAAACAATGTTTCTGGATGATACAAATTTATTGAAAAATGTTGAGATTCTATTTCAGAAACCAGACAAATGCTAAGTAACTTCACGACTTTACCGACTCTATCAAATGTCTGGAGAATACTTTGCACTTATTATGGCTCTTTAGAATACCTTAAAAGAGATGAAGAATTGAAGAGTGTCTTTAACTAGAAGAGCCGGAATTATATGAACTTGATGCGAAGATGGAAAGCGTTCCTATAAATATAAACAGAAAAAAACAAATACACTTAAATTGACTAGAATAAATTGCATTTGGGTGGATATTTTGTTTTTTGTCCTTATTTCAAGAATGCTTTTTTTCAATTTCATCTTTTTATCAAGTTCGTTTAATTTCTTTCTAATTTAAGACTAAAGCTCTGTTCGGATCGGGTTGAAGTCAACCCGAACCGATAATTTCGGGTCGAGTCGGGTCGGATTCGGATCGGGTTTGATCCGAAAATCGTAAAATAGTTTTTCATTAATAACTTTTATTTTTACTAAGATACTTGTATTTGGTGTCTAAATGAAGTTGTTCTGAATGTAATTGTGTATATAACCACAAATTTTCGTTTAAGTCAATTAATATTAAACGAGAAATACCGTTTTTTAGTCTGACCCGAAATATTTCAGGTAGGGTTTGACCCAATCCGACCCGACCCGGTTGGAGCACTATTTAAGACATCTATTAATTTTTTTATTTATTTTAGAATACTCTGAAGAGCTGTAGTATTGAAAATGAAAGGTATTAAATCGGTTGTTATTTGCTAGATAGTAATAGAGTAAAAAAAGTGGTTCCAAAGCAGTTGGTCTGTTTTCTGGAATAGGATCCCAACATTTTTCGATATTAAATTTACACTATCCAAGAACTTTATTTGGTATCTTAGATTGTACTCCTTTATATACGTCGTATACAAGATATATCATGACTTCGTTCACCTGTTACAATTTCGAACATAACCATTCCAAAACTATAAATATCTGCAGATTTAGTGTATGTCGTTCCATTTAGAACCTCTGGGCTCATGTAAGGAATTACACCATAAATTTCTTGATTTGATTTATTTGAATTAGTCGGGTTGGCAAGTCCAAAATCAGCAATTAGAGGAATACTTAACATTAATATATTTCCAGGGTAAAAGTCTCGATGCGCAAATTCCTCATTGTGAATTGCTTTCAGCCCTCTGATAATATAAAGCAAGTTCTACATTTTTTCTTCACAATTTAATTTTTCGAATTGGATTAATATATTTGCGAAGATCGCATAATCCATTATTATCGAGTATTTCTGGATCTTTAATTTAAATAGCCATAGCTGCAGTCTGAATTTATTTTAAGAAAGATTTTTTGTATTAGAAACAAAAAATTATCTTCTTTATATTTAGAGATTCATTTTTACCTCATTTATAAACTCTAAAGTAATTTGCTCTGAATTGTGTAATGTTTTCAATACAACAACTTTGTATCTTTTAGATCGTTAAAATTTTTTTCTTCATGATCTCCACTCGTTGTAATCGTGCAAAGATGCTTTACGAATTTTTCCAAAACCTCCTTTTACAAGATATTCAACATTGGTAAACTTTTCAAAAGGGATCCAATCAAAAGATTCACTAAGTTTCCTGCGTTCAATGATT